GCACAGTCAGTATCTCTGCGGCATGCCTGTGGACCCACACCACCAGGCCTGACCTGAAGGCACCCCACTGTGGCTGTGACCATGGCCACGACTATGACTGGGGCTGAGAACCGAGGTTCACAGGGATCTGTCTTCAGAACACATATTTTGAGCCTCTCTCCTCTCTCCAGTGACGCTGCTGTCACCATGACATCACTTTGAATGAGTTCAACAGTCAGTCAGACATCAAGGCCACTGACGTGGACTGTCACCTTCAACCCTTCGTTCTCAAACAATCTGCAGGGGCATGAAAGTTCCTGAACTTCCTGTGCACAGCTGTGCTGTGGAAGCCTCTGTTCTCAGGCCAGAAGCAAAGAGAGAGACGTGAAGGGACGCAGTCTTTACTCCTTGTCTACAGAAAAGGGCAATGGAGAGAACATCGCCCTGTCCTATATTTACTTCTTCTCTGGTGCTTTCTTTTTTCAGGCATCCAGTATGATTCCATTCATTCTTCCCTGCATGCAGGGACTGACTCGGGGACAGGGGGTTTGGTTTGGGTGTGCAGTAGCAGTTAGTTTCACTACTGCCAACAGGGAGAAGGGCTTTTCCCACTGGGGTGGCGACGGGAATTTAAGATGCTCAGAAGATATTGATTAGGAGGCCTTTAGAGTTAAAACACCAGAAAGATTATGCAGGGTGTGATTCAGGGAAGAAAATATACGCGAAGCATCTAAATATGAACTCCCATGACACCTGGTATCTAGAGATGCCAACCAGCACAGCCCACAGCCAGAAGAGGGGTCTTACAGTCAAAGGTGTTATTGTGTGAGGGAAAACATGGACAATTACACATTTCTATCTCACTTCAGGAGCCCTGGATATGTAGTGGGTTCCAAGCTGGGCTACTAACTGCAAGGTTAGCAGTTCAAAACCACCACTGGAGAAAAACTCCTTATAGAACCAGAACTTTCATTTCCTCCTCCTCCTTCTTTTTGTACTTCAAATATTTAATAGTCTATGTTCCAAATCTTCATATTTTAGGTTTGATTACATTGAACATAGTCATTTCAGTTAAAATGGCTCACAATGAATTGAATCATCAAGAAAAAGTAAATACAAACCTAGATGACTTCTCCAAAAGAAAAGATAAAATGGATTCAAATATATAATTAAATTTTTAGAAGATTTGTTTGGAAAAATTACTAAAATTCTCTCACCCATCTGTAACAGAAGGCATAGATTATGGATATAGGTTGGATCAATAGTAAAGATATGCTCTGCTACATTTTAGATACAGTTTATGAATTCAAAATCATTATTTTAAACTATGATTCACACAAAGACTGTATTTTGTAAGAGAGCTATAAAAACATGTCACCAAATTGAAATTGAGCAAAAGCAATCATTTAAAGTAGACCTTTAAGATAAAGTCCATAATTTGGAAGCAAGCTGCCTTCTTAAAATGGTAATATTAAAATGCACGTTGAAAGCAAAGCTTAATGGAAGCATTACCAGAAATCATGGCATTCGAGTTTGACTCTGTGCTGGCCCAGTGGAGACAATCTGAACCCAAACCCAAACCCATTGCTATGAAGTTGATTCTAACTCATGGCAACCCTTTATTGGGGTTCGGGGATTCTATGGGAGCAGACAACCTCCTTTTACTCCCAACATGAAGCTGCTGGGTTGGAACCACAGACCTTGGAGTTAGCAATAGAATGCTTACCTCAACACTGCCACCAGGGCTCTTTAATATAGACAATCAGTCCTTATTCTATTTAGAAGTGAAGAACATACAACAAAAGTGAAAATAATTCGGGGAAATACAACTGATCTGTGTCATTTAAGTCAGTAAACTGGTTGCTAATTGTTGTTATGGCTTAAACAACAAAAGCACGTACTACCTCAAAGTTCTGGAGGCTCAGAGGGGAAGATCCATTTCCTTGCCCTTGTCAGTATCCGGCAGCCACTTGCACTCCTTGGCTTGTGGCCACTTCCTCCATCTTCAGAGTACATCAGTCCAATCTTTGCTGCCATCATCACATTACCTTCTCCTTGCTATAGTCAAATGTTTCTTCACCTCCCTTTCCAAGGATCCTTCTGCTTACAGTTAGAGACCACCCAATAATCCTGAAGAGTCACCTATCTCAAGACTCACAGCTTAATCACATCTGCAAAATCCTTTGTGCCAGCTATGCTAACATTACAGGCTCCCGGAATTAAGATACGAATATATTAGGGGTTACTATTTAGCCTACCACCAGGCTACAAATATGTATTTTTAAATCCTCATCCTCACCCTAAGAGGACACAGGTCAGAAACTAAATGCTTTCTTCATGAGCTTGACATAGCAGCTTTTACTGGTAAGAAATGTAGTAAATTATTTTACTCTTTTAAAAAAGACAGTGACCTATGTCATTAAATGCTCATTGAATTGGCATTCCTGCTGTCTCCTAAATTCCTGTGCATGTACTGCTGCGCCCCACGGAAAGGTCTGTATTTAAAATCCTGGCAAATTGTTCAATAATTAAGTCAATTCAGCATGAGAACAGTTATTTGAAGCATTTCTTTGATGGAGATGAGTGACAGAGAGGAGTTTTCTAGATCGCAGAAAGTTAGTAAGAAAATCTGTATACTGGAGTATAAAGTGATACTTCCTTTCCCCTGCAAAAACATCGGCAGTTATTCTCCCTAGAAAGGCCTATGCTACATGTCGTTCTGAAGGAGGTAGAGAAGTGAACAGATCAACTGTCCTCGCCAACGCAACCCAGATCTCAGATATGCAGCACACTCAGTGGCTAAGGCGCTCAGAGCGGTCTAGAGTTTCTCAGATCTCCATAGGATATGTCATTAAATCTTCTCCTCCTGCTGGCTCTGACTTCTGGGGGGAAGCATATGGTATAAATATTACTCTAGAGTGGGTAGTGAATACTAATGACCGCTCAGGAGCTACCACATCCTCCAGTATCTGTGGCCTTTAGCATCCAGTCGGCTATAAATGTGACATGTTCTGATTTGATTCTATCGTAATTTTGAACATATAACTTGGGACTTCCTGTGTAAAATATAACTGTGTGATTAGACATCCGTACATACGGAGGGACACAGACATTGATGTTTGATCTGATGACAAGATCAGGTATGAAGACCAACACCTGCACACAGCAAAGCTTAAAGGTGCTTGTTCCTCTTCCAGGAGCAGCAGCTGGAAAGAGGCACAGCAGGAGCTAGGCACACAAACAAGCACAGGCACCGGACCTCTGCTGCTGGGGAACGTGGCTGTGCTACAGGTGAGGCCCAGACACGATAGCGCACGGGTTGTAAAGCTGTGTTTCCGTTTCTCTGCGGACAATACCCTTATCGTTGTATGGGAAAGGCGGGTCTTTGGGAAGGTACAGAAATTGTTCTGCTACATAGAATAGCAATGAATGGAACTTTCAGGATCGCAATAAAATTTCAAGTTGCGTTTCCTATGCCTCCCATGACACGGGTGTAGAGTAGGGGTCTATGTTCTCTGAGCTCAGATGGCATACATCACTGAGTAAAGAGAGCTGCTAACATAGTGAGTCTATCACTTTATTTATCAAAGCCCATAGAAAAAATTCTCAGAAGTTGGGTATGTTTGAATCAAACGCCACTGGAACAGACAATAGGAAACCACGGATACTGGGACGCCGGCCGTTGTTTCCTCATGGCTCACTGCTCCGAAAACAATACCAAACGGATTTTTGTATCAGAATTGTTTGTCAGAAGTGAGAATTCACATCAGGAGTTAACATCACTGGGGAGCTAAAGAATTAATACAAAAATCAAAGACATATTACAAATATTCTTTTGTTCTTTACTTACCAGGATGCAAAACGGCAAGGGTTTAACCTTTAAGGGTTAAAGAGTTTAATCAATGTCAATGTCTGATCTTCTGAAGGCGATAAAGAACAGTCTGTCTCCAGATGCCCAACAGAACATCACTTTGTCAGGCCACAAAGCACCCAAAAGCTCGTCAAGTAAGTTACCAGAAACCTCTTTGTGGTCAGGACTCAGCTCTTCCTGTTTGACCTATTATTTGATATTTGACCAGTTGGCTGCAAGACACTTGCTCTTTCCAGCTGAAATGTCACTGGGGCATCTTGTCAGCTCCCCGACATCTCGGCCTGACATACAATTTTACTTTTGTGTGCTACAAGGCAGAAAATGCAGGGCAATGGCCTTGTTTTAAATTCTGTCAGCATCACAGATGGGCGGCACTCTTGGGTCCTACCAACAACACAACACAACAAAACAACAAAAGGGGGAGTCTATTTTGAAGGTCAAAACAGCCATTACCTTGAAGTCCCATTCTACACCTCAACACCCCCACACCCCTACCCTACCGCCCACATCTTTTCTCTTTTTTTTAATATATTACCTGCTATACTGCTTCAGGCAGTGTCCTTCGGAAAGTGCCTAAGCAAACCACAGAAACCCTCCCGGTGCAATTGCTCTAGTTCCTTATCAAATGCAGACTTGCTAAAAGGCTGAGTTTTCCCTGCCTGCAGGGACCCGATGCCGCAGTTAACTTAACTTGTTCAAACGGGCAAGCGGCATCATGTAGCTGTACAAGGAGCAACCTGACCTTCTCACATTGACCAGGAGTGACATTGCTGTGCGGGAGGAGACGCAGTCACATCATTTCTGTTTTGCACAACCTGCTTAAAGTTTGCAACGAAATGCTTGTCTTCAGTTGAGCTGACAAGAGAGAAGAGGGGCTCAGTGAACCATGGCAGGGCTGCCATGAAATGACAGGAATCATTGGTATACATTTCAAATAGCTCTCTCAATCCTATTAAAGGATTGCCGTCCCGCTTTAAAATAGACAAGTATGAAACAACTTTGATAGATAGAGACTAAAATGGCTTATTGATTTTTTTAAGTCTGAGGGAAATTACCCAAAATGTGTCATTCTTTTAACATTTAAAAATATGCTGCATTTAAAAAAAAAAAAAAAGGAGCAGCGGCGATAATAAAGAAAACTTAAGAGAGAGAAGGTTGGCTATTTAGTTATTCAAGGAAACACAGACACCCGCACCCATCAAGAGCTCCACTTAAGGCAACCACCACCATCCCTGCCACTTGTGCTGAAACAAATTCCAGCAGCTCTGAAGACCCCCCACCCCGTGCCCCACCTTCAAAACAACTTCCGAGGGCCCTGTTCACTCTTCCTCCGTTTTTTTATTGCCTTGAGTCATAATCCAATTTGCGTGGGTCTCTTGGCATGAGCAGGGGCAGTCACAGGAGAGCTGAGCGATGACGTCAGCACCTGGGGCGTTGTGCTCATGAATGCCTCCTTTAAGAACCCGTAAGTCGTGTCGAGTTCAGCTTTCAGTGGCAAAAAATCCCCAACGACAATCGTCTCCGCGGGCAGAGTGACTCTGGAAGGAATGGAGAGGTTGGAGTGGTCTCGAGAGCCTGCCTGTACCATAAAAAAGAAACACACAATGAGCGTTAGGCTAAAACTCTACAAACAGAGCGCCCCGCCCTCAGCATGAAAGGAGGCTGATGTTGCCACTTCAGGGACCCGGTGATGACGAGCTTGGCTGCTCACCGAAAGGGCAACGGTTCGAGCCGAGCCGACGGTCCATTCTGCAGGAGACCACCTGGCAGTCTACGTGCATCATGACGAAGCCAAACAATGCCCTGCGTAAGGCCTCGGAGGCTGTGGATTTGTATGGGAGCAAGCCACCTACCTCACCGTCCTCCCTTGGAGAAACCGGTGGGCTCAAACCACTGACTTTATGATTAGCCTCCCCGGGCATAACCCACAGCCACCAGAGCCCCTGTGGAACCCCCATTGGACAGTTCTACTCCGTCCTGTAGGGTCGCTGAAAGTCAGAATCCACTTAATGCCAAAGGATGTCCTTCTGGATTTGATAGAACAAAACCCCCAAATGAAATCCACTGCCATAGAGTTGATGTCAGCCAGGAACAACTGTAGGACAGAGCAGAACTGCCTCTGTGGGCTTCCAAGACTGCAGATCCTGGCAGGTGCAGTCAGCCCTCGCGTTCGCCCTTGGATATATAACAAAAGAAAAATAGCAAGTGACTTTCCTAGTGAGACGCAGGCACAGCTTTTCGGAACATCAAGAGGTGGCCTAAGCGCTAAAGCTTTTTATAAAACCTTTTCTCAATGTCACTGCATCAGAGTCAGTACTAACCAGGCATTTTCACCTCTGCTTCAGTCCACTGGTCATTTACAAAAGCCAATCCTTGATAGGATCTAGTAGAGTATTATAGTATAGTAGTATATAGGATCTATACAGTACATAGTATGGTATATAACATACACTATATAAAACATACTATGTAATATGGAAGATCCGACTGCTTAGAAAATGAACTACAGACATGTATGTTTGAAAAATCAGCCTGAGCTATTCAGCTGACCACAAAGAAACACACCACCAAGAAAAAAAAGCAACCAATCCTAATAACCTCGAGAAGCAGAGGTGGAATTAGCAAGCAGTTATGTTACAAGCTACCAGCTGCTCCTCAGGAAGAGAGCAGGTGGTCCACTCCCACAGAGCAAGCAGCCGCAGAAACTCACAGGGGCAGCTCTAGCCTTATCCTCAAACTCCGGCCCGCGGGCCACATGCGGCCCGCTGAGGACATTTATCCGGCCCGCCGGGTGTTTTGGCCCCATTTGTTTTTTCACTTCAAAATAAGATATGTGCAGTGTGCATAGGAATTTGTTCATAGTTTTTTTAAACTATAGTCCGGCCCTCCAACGGGTCTGAGGGACAGTGAACTGACCCCTGTTTAAACAGTGTGAGGACCCGGGCTCTAGGGTCTCTATGAGTCAGTCGACTTGATCGCAGTGAGTTTGGTTTAGTTGGAGAACCTCTACAGAACAGTATACTAGGACACAAAATGCTAGTACCTTTGATAATAACGCCACCAAATCATTTCGATAACGACTGCTCTTGGGTAGCATGAATTAAAAATGTGATTGCAACATGAAATCAATGCGTCATATATTTTAAAACATTACTGGTATCCAGGAACCACTGGAAATCCACCAAAGTGCCACACAAACACTCCTAGAGAACTTGAGGGCAGAATTAACACTTTTAAACAGTTTTATTGACACTTCATCTAGGCATCATGCAAGTCAACAGTCAAGGAGAGTTGTATAATCATTATCACAATCAATGTTAGAACATTTTCTTCTTCCTTGTACTCATTGTTATTAGTGTATTTTATTTTTGTTTGTTTTATTAGTGTAATTTTTTTAATTGTGGCAAAAATATATACAATAAAACATTCTCCAGTTCACAACTTCTACCTGTATAATTCATGCCATTGATTATACTCTTTCTGTTGTACAGCCACTATTTTACAAATTATTTCCAAATCCTTTTCCAAATTATCACCACCAACATAAACTTAGTGCCCCCTAAGGAATGACTCTTCCCCTTCACCCATGGTAACACTGGTCAAGTTTAACAGTTTGGTGAAGTGATAGAGCTAAGCCCTAAGTAGCACATTGATAACACTGGACAATACACATTTTGGAGCCTCAAATATTAGACTTTCTACACGTATATCTGACCTGCTGATTCTGAAACTGTTTTCCCTTATCAGTTCTAGCTTTTTGAGAAGCAGAACACATGCCATATGCCACTTCACTCTGCTCTCCCATATAAAAAAAATCAGGATATTTTAATGTCATGTTAGCTAGCATGCTGGTTTTATTTAAAGGAGTTTGCGTTGAACTAAATATTTATATCAAATTGTATTTCACATGGTATCCTTTGATCTAAAGATATATTTGAGCAGTGCAAATTACAGGAACTTGGAATTTTCCCCAAGTATCGCTTCACCTTTATTAGGAACTGAATAGCAGGCAGTGCCAATTGTTGTCTTTAAAAACTCATTGCCTATAAGAGTTGTAGGAGCCCCTAATAAAATGATTTTAAAAAAATAAAACCAACTCACTGCCATCACGTCAATTCTGACTCATGTTGACCCTACAGGCCAGAGTAGAATGCCCCTGTGGGTTTCTCAGACTTTACCTCTTTAGGGGAGTAGAAAGCCTCATCTTTCTCCCGAGGAGTAGCTGGTGGTTTCAAACTGCTGACCTAGTGGTTAGCAGCCCAATGTGTAACCACTCACCACCGAGGCATAGTGGCCCTTAAAAGGGGCCAGAAATAAGAGTCCGTGTACAATAACCAAAGATCCCTAATGGCATAGTGGATTGTGTGTTTGTCTGTTAACCATAAGTTCAGCTGTTTGAGCCCACCAGCCACTCTGCAGGAGAAAGACACGGCTTTCGGCCTCTATAAAGATTTACAGACTCTGAAACCCACAGGAGAAGTTCTGCCTGTCTTACAGGGTCGCAATGAATCATAATCGACTGATAATGGGTAATGGGTTTGGTACAATAAATAGAGATTCAAATGTTCTAAAACCCAAATGGGTCTGTTAAGAGTTCAAACACTTTTATTAAAATCAAAATTCTCTAGTCTTGTTGTAAGATGTCACAGCTTCTCACCTGTGAACAGAAACTCTTAAAAGTTAAAATTTTTCACAGGAAAAAAAAGTTAAAATTTTTCTTATAAAAGAGCTTGGAGTCAACCTCACCTCTGAAACCGTTAACGTGAATTATCCATTGATGTCCATATACTAAAATGTGTTCTTAAATGTTTGCTGCATCACTTGAAGAAGAAAAATTTAGATCTTCAGAATATTTATGGAAACTGCTACGAAGTCTTACATTTTCAGCGCTCTAAATGGCCCTCAGACCTCCCACATGCGCGCCTTTTCCGTCTTCCTTTTACATTCCCACTCTTCTCAAGCTGGGCTCTGGCTTTGCAGAAGACAACTCGTAGTCTCTGCACACATTGTGTGGCCTCCCACACGGAAAAGAAAAACCTACTGCCATCTAATAGATGCTAACTCACAGTGGCCCTATACACCAGGGACAATCTGCTCCTTGGGGTTTCCAAACCCTTAAATCTTTTAAAGGTTGAAGAGTGACTGCTGGGTTTGAACCACTGCCCTTATTTATGATTCACAGCTCAATGTGTAGCCAACTAGCCACCCTGGGTCCATATACAGCTTCCCTTGGAAGTGTCTTAATACCTCATTCTTTTTCAAATAGTTCTCACTTTCTTTTGTTTTATCCTGTAATTTGGGGGTCTGGGTTCTTCTCATATGTAAAACCAGGATGATAAATTAATAAAATAGTGTAATGTAATAGCTGAATATATAGTGGAAGATCATATCTAATAAACTAGAGCTGATGCAGCCTATCCAATGCTATTATCTGAATCATCACCCCCGCCCCGCCCCCCAAAATAACCTGGTTTAGGAATAAACCTAAAACCAAGACACCAAGAAAACAAATGTTTTGGTATTGGGCGATGTAATTAGCAGTTAACACTTAACATAAGCCAAATCTTATCAATGAAACAGGGAAGTATTGTGATGTGTATCTCTCACTGCCACTGAGGCGATTATGACTCATAGTGTCCGCACAGTAAACAGTATGCCACTAAAACTCCCCCTGTGGATTTCTGACACTGCTCACTGCTCGCAGGAATACAAACCCTCATCTTTTCTCGACTGAGCGACTGCTAGAGATGGTAGAAAAATAGTAACCAATTATATGTCAGGATAATCAAATTCCCAGCAAGTGAATGTGACTGAAATAACATTAAAATCTGTGTAGTTACTAAGTAGCTCTGCTAAAAACCATATTCCATATTGCAGGGGTCTTTAAGAAATGTTTTGGGTCGATTCTTTAATATAGTTTGATGACCAAATAGCCTGAAGTACAGGGTCTGTCTTGATTATATTGTGTTACTTAAAACCATTTCTCCACGTGCACACAAGAGATACATGCTGCCAATGGCTTTAGGAACATATTATAAATTCAACTGTTGTATGTGACACCATTTTTGTGGATTTTTTTTAAAAAAAAACATACAACAGGAGAAAAATCAATGGCTGCATCCAACACCTAGTTGAGCTGTTTTCTTTGATCGTGGTTCTTTTGATTTTGTGATATAATCCACTGCAAGCCTAGAGCTGACAGGGAAACTTGTCCTCCTACCAGAAGTTCCCTTTCTGATTTGCTGAGCTGTATGTATGAAGTTGGTAACATTAACTGTTGCTGATTTTGCTGCTGTAAAGATTGTACCTGTCTTAACTTCTTCCGTCAGACACAGGTGAGGGGGATTCTATAAGAACAGGAGATGGTGGCATGCTTTGTTTTATAAATAATATATTTGATTGTGTTTTAGGTGAAAGTTGGCCCGGCAAATTAGGTTCCTCAGTATGGATTATCATACAAATTGTTCTGTCCTTGCTTACCATTGTCATGAACTGTCAGAATTCTCATGGTTTCCATTTGCTTCTGTGATCTATTTTCCCTTCCCCTCCTCACCATCCTATCTCTTTGCATTTGGGTGA